TACCATCACTCACATACAATCATATGACCATTATTGTCTGACTATGATTCTTTGACCACAATCGTTAGACTCTAATCCTCTTACCAATATACTCCAACTATGATCATTCGACCACCATCACCTAACTATGATTCTCTAACCACCGTCATTTTAGATTTTTCAGGTTAAACCTTTAATGCCTCCTACAACTACTCTTTTAGATTTATGGTTTTCAAATTTTTGTACAAAATTAAGACGTTAATCTCTCTATTAGCATACACATTCTGGAAAACAATAAATAAAAATATATTATATTTTAAGAAATAATATCTGAATACTTTATTTTTAATTTGCTTCTGATTTTTTTGAAGAGTGATAATAATGTGAATGAGAAACGGTTCGAGCTTGAAGTTTTAGCCAAATGGAAGAGGGTTATTTAATTTATTTGATGAACGAGACTTTGGAATTTAATATTTTCTATTTCTCCTTCATTTGTCTCAACTCTTTTGTTGTTTATGTTGATGAGTTCAAATGCAGCGAAGGTTGGAGGCCGGCAAATTAAGCATGGTAGGAACTGAAGAGGTCTTTATTCAACGAAGGAGAAAAGTGATAAGGCATTGATGTGATTGCCTCTATATATGTTGCCGAAATTATATTATATAAAAATTATTATTATTATTATTATTATTATTTTCAAACTTTTTTATGCGAATGCTGATTTTTTTTGGCTTAGGTATTGTGTTAAAGAGGATTAAAATTAGGTAAAATAAAAAAAATAGTGAGATTTTTTTGTTTCAGCAGAGTAGAATGGATATGGCAGAGAGCCAATCATATGCTATGAATAATGTATTTTTTAGTTTAATTATTTTTATGAATTTTATTTTATTATTATTGCAGGTTAGATTATTGGCGACGTTAAAATAAGAGAATTTTTCATCATAGTGTTATAAATATCAAACACACAATCAAAGAACATAGAAATATCAGAATTTTTCACGAGGGAAAAAATTACAAAGCCATGCCCAGTTAAAATGATTTCACTATTATTTGAATATTTTTCAAAGATTGTCCTTAAACTTGATGACACTTAAATTACAGTGGTATAAGAAGTGGGTTGAACTTTGAAATTATTTGGAAATTATAATTTTGCACTTAAACAGTTTGAAATGTTCATACACATATTTTTGGACTCTGTAGGCTTTGACAACAGAAAATACGTGGGCAACTTATGTATCGTCAAAAAAATATCTTGATGGATCACGAATATCGAGACATTCAAATTGGAAACTTCCGAACTTAAATCTATAGCCATCCAAACTTTGATTTCAGGAAACATATAGTCGAATTGAACATTTTAAGGATGCAAACCCAATGACACCAAATTAGATCCAATTCGAGCCCAAATGGATCCAAAACTCCAAATCAAAGGCCTGATGGCCAAAGCACATTTAGAATGTTCAAAATATAAATTAGATGGTCAAATGTATTTAAATGTGACATGTTTATCATCGAATCGAGCGGCTCAACAAGATGAATCCAATGAGCCCAAGATCGTCGAATTTTGACATCATTAAGACACTCAATCGATCGATAAACAGTATATGATTGAGGGAATTGATATCGGTTGTCCATCAAAAATATTTCCAACATGCTCTTGATATTCTCCCTATTTACTTGTTATGCCCCTCACAGAAAATTATAAATGGACTTCTCATTCTTCATTAAGGGGGACAAGAGAGAAGAGAAAAGAGGAAGAGAAATCTGAGAACTCTCTTTACTGCTCTTGCAACCAAGACTCATCTTCACACCACCGCCCTGCCACCACCATTGTCGGACTTCGCGCTGACCATCAACGGTCGCCGGACTTCAGCTCAGCCTCCGACAGTCACCAGATTTTTGCCTGACAGCCAATCGGACCTTTTTCTCACTGCCACTGTCAAGACTTCTGCTCGACCGTCATCATTCACACGAAATTCAACTCACTTCCTGGACTATTGGTTTTCTAAGTAAAAATTCTGGTGTTTCTAAGTTATATGATTGTGTGATGAATATCTGTGCAATGCTATGATGAAAAAATTCCTATTTTATCATCGGAATATTCTGAACACGCAACAATTATCATTATTCTTTGTATTTTAGAAAGATAGAAATTATAATTATATTCCTTCTTTATTATTACTATTCAATATTTTAATATTTAATGTTAAAATTGAAATTTAAAAACCCAATAAAATTTTTAAAATTTAATATTTTTATTTCAGATATTTAAAATTAA